GGATTAATACAAGACCGTGACAATAAATGGGCGACAATCAAACAATTGTTAAGAAAGAAACAACCTAATATCAATATTGACCCTAATGATTGGAAAGACTATTTCAATTCACTACTGAATGATGAAATTGTAAATATTGACCAGGAATTTAAAATACTGATAGATCATACCATGCAACTCCATGACAACCTGTGTATTGAATGTGATAACAATGACCCAGATATATTAAATGATCCAATTTCAATGGAGGAAGTTACATTCTGTATAAATAAACTAAAACATGACAAAGCACATGGACTGAGTGGATTCTTAAATGAATTTATTGTACATACAAAGGACATCATTACCCCTAAATTGGTGGAACTGTATAATGCGATTTTAAAGTCAGGGACTTACCCCGATGACTGGTGCAAAGCAATAATATGCCCTATTCATAAAAAGGGAACCTATATATGTCCAAATTTTCGAGGTATTTCACTTCTTGAGACCTTAGCAAAGATGTTTAATTCAATATTCAATATAAGGATGTTAAATTGGAGTAAAGGTAACAGCGTTATAGATGAATCCCAAGCGGGATCGAGACCAGGGTACAGTACAATTGATAATATTTTCACTTTATCAGCAATGACCCAGAAACATTTGTCAACACCAGGTGGAAGGTTCTATTGTATTTTTATTGATTTCTCAAAAGCGTTTGATAATATACCCCACCGCCACCTATTTTATAAAATGATGACTACAGGTATCCATGGTAACGTGTTAAAACTATATCAATCGATGTACAGTAAACTTCAATGCTGTGTTAAATGCGAGATAAACGTAAATATAGAGCAAGATATCCATACTATTAAACATGTAAAAGGAATTACAATTTTTTTTCCATGTACAAAGGGTATATTTCAAGGAGATTCACTCAGCCCAACGTGGTTCATTATGTATGTAAACTCATTTTTTAACATGCTGAGGGAACAAAACTGCCAAGGAATCCATATTGTAGAAGGTTCCCCTAATATAATGGCATTGTGTTATGTGGATGACTTAAATTGTATAGGTAACACTGTACCAAATGTGCAAAAACAACTTGATACCTTAGGTAGCTTTTCACGTAAATGGGGAATGAAAGTAAATTTATCCAAAACAAATGTGATGGTGTTCAGGAATGGTGGTCCCCTCAGGCAAAATGAAAAATTTTATTTTGAAGGAGCAGAGATAGAACAAATATCATATTATAAATATCTAGGTATACTATTTTCCATAAGACTCTCCTGGTCTCCAGCTAAAAGTCAGCTTGCTTCACAAGCAAAGAAATCTATTATTTTACTCAAACAACTTAACCAAAAGTGTGGAAGAATACCACTTAAACTTATGTTCTCTCTGTTTGATGCCATGGTAACACCCATCTTGAGCTATGGTTCAGAGATGTGGGGATATGAATGGTGTAATGTAATTGAATGTACACAAGCTCAATTTTGTAAATATTATATAGGTGTGGGACCACAATCAAATGATGCAGCAGCATTAGGCGAATGTGGCAGACTTCCACTTTGTACCACTTATATGCTTAAAACCTTAAAATACTGGATAAAATTAACAGAAATGCCCAATCATAGACATCCTAAATCATGCTATACAATGCTTTATCAACTAGATCAATCGGGAAAAACAACTTGGGCATCAAAAATCAAATATTTGCTTTTTTTCACTGGGATTTGGACATGCATGGTTTGAGCAAAGTGTAGGGAACCAATTATATTTTATTTTTATATTTAAGCAAAGACTTCAGGATATGTACAGCCAAGCTTGGCTAGGGAAACTCAGGGAAAGCCCCAAATTATATACATATATGCAATTTAAAAATATTTTAGAGCCTGAATTTTATTTATTATGTAATTTAGAATATAGATGTATTAAAGCTCTAGCAAAATTTAGAATTTCGAACCACTGTTTTGAAATTGAAACGGGAAGACACCGTAATATTGTAAGAGACAATAGAATGTGTAAATATTGTACCATAATAATAGAGGATGAGTACCATGTAATGTGTAAGTGTCCTAGATACCATAATATTAGATTAAGTCTTGACATTACCTTTGTAGAAAACTATAGCACAGATCAATTCATCCAATTGATGAAAACAAAAAATGCTATCCTCCTAAAGAAGTTATCACTATTAATTATTGAAGCAACCAATATTAAACTATTGTAAACATACTATGTACACAATGGGCCAGAGGCCTTATATGAAATAAAATCTTATTATTATTAATAAAACCGATTCGGCAACGTTTTGACGATCACCAGAAAATTTTGAGCATGCTCAAAGTTCTGGAGGACCTACTCGTTCTAGTAGTTTCATGAAGTTTGTAAACAGATCCCAAACGTCTAGTTTTTATACCCCCTGTTGTAATTTTAAGAGGGGTACTAGGAAAGTCATATATAATTCCTAGAATTTGCAACCAATCATCTTGATATTTACAGGTAAGCATCTACTTATCATGTCCTACCATTATGACAAATTCCATCAAAGTTGAACAACTGGTTGCTATGGTAACGAAGATCATATGTTAAAAAGTACACATTTTCGTCAAAATGTAAGACACCCCGTGAGATAAAACACATATTATTTTCATGAAATTGGGAAGAATCACCATTCAGTGTATGTTTGATAATATTAAATCAACAGCTGTTTTATCTTATCCACATAGTGGAATATATTGCTGATGATTATATGGCAATGCGAATAAATTTAGAAAGGGGACGTGGTACTTTTCCAAAGAATTCTTTATTTGTGTCCAATTTTTGAAGAAAATAAAGAGCCATTTGTCTTGAAATTAACAGGTATTATTCACATCATTATGTTTGACTATCATGAAAGTTTCATCAGTGTTGGTTTAATGGTTACTATGGTATGCAGATTTATACCCCATTGGTATGATTTTAAGGGGGGTACAATGAAAGACATCTATAATTCCTAGAATATACAGCAAAGCATCAATAATTATTTTTCAAGCTCATATTTACAGAAAAAGGTTTGTAACGAAGTGAAGTGGTGATGCAGCTTAGTGTTACGGGATTTCATTCTGTGATTTCATTAACTAATTAATCTGCTTTTTTCAATGTTCGTTTATGTATTCTAGAATGAAAAATAGACACTGTACGCCTTTAATTTATTTAACAATGCTTTCTGTCTTTAGAATGTACAATGATAACATGATACGTCAATGATAAAACATGTTATATAATCAGTTTGGAGGGTCATTGAACAAAAAACGCATTATTGCCGTACATTATGTTATCATTGGGCAGTTATATAGTGACTAATAAATGGCATCGGTGCCTATTTCGGATCTTGAGATACACCATAATAATTACTAAATAGAGCTGTACCAACTTGTACCACTGAATAGATTAACGTTAAAAACATTAATTGTTTTCTGTAATTGTTGGGTTCTTCCTTCTGACTAATTTTACATATAATTCAAACTCAACCTCATTGTTTATATTCTAAAATATATAATTATTTTATTTTATAATTTACACTTTGTGTAGCTTCACTACATCTTGTCTAGTCAAATTCTAAAATCTAACTCCCTTTTCTCTGGGGCTTCTGGGGTGTCCCTTCATCGAACAATCATAGCAAAAGATCAAAGCCAATATTAAAAGTTCACACAAATTGTTATTCTTTAAAGCTGTCGGTAAACTCTGAGATAAGATACCAAGATGAAAGGAATGTTAATGTAGGTACTACATAAGATGAAAATATCACATTTGATGGAACCCAATATTAGAACTTTGATAAAAAGTGATCGGACAAATAAAAGTAATCAAGAATATCATAATTCGATCACACAAGAACAAAAAGAAAGCATACATAGAATAAAATTGAAGAACACCTTAACTGATAATTCTATAAAAGTCTTGAAATGCCTTACGCATAACTAAAAAAAAGGAAACTGAACAATAATTCTAAAAAACTCTCAATCATAGCCGTATGTTATTATCAACTCCCCCCGGGTTTGGCCCCTACTTGTGATGAAAATGACAATCGTGTTGTTTTACCTGAGTAGGTCTGAGTAAGTATCTGCACCCGGCCCCCGGGCTAGGGGAACATGGGGCAAAACGGCCCTCTGGGGCAAAGTGGCCCATCGAAATATCTTTTGAACTATAAAAAGATGGTTCTTCAAAAGTCACAAAATCGAATTTTGAAATATCTGCCACCTTCTCGACCGTCCATTTTTAACCAAGCAGCGTCTCGCTTTACGTAAGAGGTAATTCTACTTTTCACCCTCTTTTTTGGAAATTACCCCTCTCACGAGAATCTCTAAAAAATCCGGCAACAATAGAATATCGTTTTGATTTAACATTTTACATAGAGTGTGCACATTTATTCTTTATTTGTAAAAATTTCGAGCTTCAAATATTAGGCAAATTAAAATGACGTCTATTTGAAAATTCACATGTCTTTGGGGCAAAACGGCCCACACATGTTATAACATACAAAAATCTTATTGTGCAAGAACAATTGGTTTTCAAATGTAACAATTTTGACATCTGGCTTGTGCCTTATTTCCTTCCGACACATATCGAATGACTAGAATTATGGTAGGGGTTAAGAATACTTTATCTGTCAAAGGTTTGAACGTCTGAGATAAGATGTTTATGGACGAGTCTTGTGATTGATTAATTTTGGTTTCAAAACCCATGTAACAGAGGGTGGGCCGTTTTGCCCCACCCATGGGCCGTTTTGCCCCACTCTCGACAATATTTTTGACCATTGAAAAATCACAGAAGATAGTCCTAGGAAAGTATAAAACACTCGAAAAATGTAAACCACAAACCATTTATAAAGTGGAACATCAAAGTGCGCGATGATTGACAGATACAAAAATACCCCGTACAGAACAACTTAAAATTAAATTTTTTGGGCCGCTTTGCCCCATGTTCCCTTACATACTGTAGGTTGGTATCCCGGGATTGCCACATTAATTTAGCACTAGACGAAAACGGCAAGGTGTGCAGCGCCATCTAGTAAAGAAAAAATGGCGAAAGACGAAAGTCAAAATCCATTTTCATTTCAAAAGTTCGTCAGTAAAAAGTCTAAAGGTGATCTTACTTCACAAGCACCTGATGCTGAAATAGATATATTTGATCTTCCTGATGTTCAAGACCCTCAAGTGCAAGAACAGAACCAGAGTACAAGTAATGAAGGTAGATTTTATTACTTCCGGGTTTTCTACAATTCAAAATCAAGACCAAAAATATAATATTTTGTAAATATAAGGTATTCTCTGTTGTCAACCTTGGATTATCATTGCCAAAATAATCCTCAAGTATGTGCTATGATTGCCAGAGAATCATACTGTAGTATTCCAGTGTTATGTACCCATACGGAACTGCTAATCCACCCACATGTGCACATGCTATCTGCAAGAGTTACGCCTGCCACAACCGTCGCCATGTTATTAATCAGTGTTTTTAAGTAGTGCAAGGATCCTGCCATGACCGTGGTAGTGTTATCGTGTAAGCCTGGTATAACCGTGACAGGCTGGTATAACCGTGACAATGCTGTATTATATTGCAAGGCCTGTCATGACCCTGGAAGTGTTATCCTGGAAGCCTGGCGCGACCGTAGCCTTTATTGTGGTTTATAAGCGAATGTGAAGATTAATGTATGGTAGTAATTTTGATTTTGACATGATTAGGTAGTTAAGTCTAATCACCATGATCATAGTATTAAACTGTTTAATTGTAATGACTATCACTTAAAATTGTTAAGGATATTCCTGGCATTAATGTCATACATATTTACTAGTCATTGCAATACATTATAACGGTCATAGTAGGACTAAGCCTAAATTTCTACATTGCCACCCTCATACCTGGCCTTGCAATACTATATTACATTGTCACGGTCATACCAGGCTTTGCGATCCCATAATACATTGTCACGGTCATGCCAGGTTTTCAAATACACATTGTCACTGTCACTTATAGCAATCATAAATTTCTACATTACCCCTCTCATACCCGAACTTGGAATACTATATCACATTGCCACGGCGGTCATACCAAGCCTTGCAATACTATTAACTATATTACATTGTCACGGCCATGCCAGGCCTTGCAGTACTATATTACATTGCCACAGTCATGCCAGGCTTTGCAATACACATTGTCACGGTTATTGCAGTCCAAATCATAAATTTCTACATTACCACTCTCATACCTGAACTTGTCATGCCAGGCCTTGCAGAACTATATAACATTGTCACGGTCATGCCAGGCCTTGCAGTACTACAGTATATTACATTGTCACGGTCATGCCAGGCCTTGCAGTACTATATTACAATGTCACGGTCATGCCAAGCCTTGCAGAACTATATTACATTGTCACGGTCATGGCAGGCATTGCAATATAATACAGCATTGTCGCGGTTATACCAGGCTTTCACGATAACATTACCACGGTCATGGTAGGATCCTTGCGCTACTTAAAAACACTGAATTACATGGTGACGGTTACGCCAGGCGTTAGTTAGTCGTTAGTCCACATGTGGGTTTCCACTGGCTGATCTTGGAGGAGGGGGGGGGGGGGCTGGGGGACCGCCCACTAATAGAGGCCCTAAAAATATTTTTCTGGGCCCACCCAAGGTCCTATGGCCCCCCTGGATCTGCCAGTGCTCTACAGACCAATGTTTGTGTATTTTCTGAACTAGTCCTTGGTACTTGAATAGATCAATCTTGCATCATATTGTTCAGGAATACATTTACATGTACAGTTTATCTAGGCTTTGTATAAAAAACCTCCTACCTCATACCCACCTACCCACGTATGTTGGACATGATGCAGTCTTTGAAGGGCTCAATTTTAAAGATCTTAGTTTATAATGAATCATACATAGATGCATTTGTAACAACCCTTGATAGCAAGTTGCTACTACAGCCGAGCTTGGTTCAATTCCCACTCGGGCATAGAATTTAGCACACTTTCTTTCAATTTCTTTATCTGGCTTGTTGGACCTGCATGATTGCCCTGGGGTGCCCTCGGGTCATTACACATTACAATGCACCCATATGCCTTTATTTATGGATCTGTCATCCATCTAGTCATAAAATAAAGCCGGAATTGTAGAAATGTTAATAATTAGAGCTATTTTGAGATTTAAAAATCTTTAAGATTGAACCCTTCAATGACTACATCATGTCCCACGTAGATGGGTAGGTGGGTATGAGGTAGGAGGTTTTTTATACAAAGCCGTATATCTATGCGTCATATTGTACCTATATTTTGCAGATGTTCCAGGAGAATCTGCTTCAAAGGTTAAGTCTTCAAACCCATTTTCGTTTAAGAAGTTTTTAACTAAAGACTCAAACATAAGCAAAACAGGAGTTAAAGTTCATGCAGAAGCTAGCAATGAAAAACATCTCCCAGACTTTACATCAGATCTTCCAGATTTCGACAGTCCTGTTACCCACAATACACCATTCCATGAAGAAGTTACGTCATCTCTGCCTGATTTTACGTCACGAGTTGATGTGCTGCCACAAGTATCAGACAGTGTGTCACAGCTTGACTATCTGACATTGAATAATGGGGTGCCTGATTCAGGTCAAAAACATTTAGATTTACCAGATTTCTTATCAGACAATGCAGTGCACAGTTTAAGTCTACATGATGATAATGATGATGAGAATGATGATAATGATGATTTTATAAGTGGAGTGCTCAATGGCAGTCAAGATGTGTCTAATCTGGCAAAGGTAAATATACCTGTATTTTTATAAATATGTTTTGGATAGACTCTAACTATGCAGGTGGACAGGTATGTGAAAGGGGGTAAGATTTTTATTGAGTATCCAATTTATAATTTTCAGTTTGAGGATAGTTTTGACTATAAGTAATCTTCAACTCCATGTATTGTATGGTTACCTATTGTATTACCTGAACTTTTGAAATAAAATAAAAATATTTATTCATATAACCAACTTAATTTAGACCATGAAATCATCTAAACTTGTTTAAATACCACTGTATATCTCATCTAAATCACTTTCGAAATTAGCATACAATCTTGAACAGTATTAATATATTGTTGCTTAAATTACATTATTCAAAATTTGAAATTTTGAAATTTGTCATTTTCAGGAAAATGCAGAACTGAAAAAGTCTCTCTTGAAAGCTGAAGAGAAAAGCCATTTAGACTCACAAAGGTAGAAAGCCCTTTATAGATTAATTAAATTTCACCTATGTGCCATTCTAACCATATTTTTGTTAAGAGGGATCACCAAACCTAATTCCTTTCATTTTACTTTTTAAATTTTCTTCAAAATATAATAGTACTAATTTTGTGTGGTAAGAGGCATTTATTTAAATTTTCAAAGCTGTTTCAATTGATGATTTGCGATCACCGAATGGATTCTATCTTTTAGTGACGTCACAATTAGGTCACCCAGCTTTAGATGCTTGATTTTGAGAGATTATCTTCTATATTTCGTGCTTTATTGATTTATTTTTCACGAAAGCGTTCGATTTGACTAGATCAACATTCATTCTAAGCACATACCAAGTCTAAGGTCTTACTGACATGATTTAGATAGCAGTTAAGCGCCCCCCGATTTTGACAAAAACGGGGGGCGCTTAAAGGCATCGATGTTTAGTATGAATTTCACCCAAACTTCGCACATATATAGATATACTCATGATCTAGTCAAATTGGCATACCTGTTAAATATCTGACCCATGGTTTTCATATAAGAAACGACAATATTTTTAGCTCAAAACTGCCACGTGTCCGTCATTTCGTGATTCCATCATGTCTAATATCATTTCTATATGACGTCATACCAATAAGACGAAATACGTGACAACAGTATCCATAAACAAAATTCCTGAATTCTGATCGCAAAAGGTCAATTGGTCACATCTCACATTAAATAACCCATGGTGAGGGGCTTTATATGAGGTGAAGAGATATCTTCACTTGAAATCCTAAGATGAGGGAGACATTGTATTATCACATTTTGTAGGATTGGTTTTTCATCTGTAGGTTAGCTGAGCTGCAGCTTGAGGTTAAAAGAATCAAGAAGAGAGAGTCAGAAGACACCAAGGCTCTGGAGGAAATGATGCAACAAGTAGAGGCAAACCTGCAGTCAACTACAGTAAGAATATTTATCGTATGATCTGTAAAATGAACGGAGGGGACATTCTCAGTAGCAATACAGAGGATCACATGATAAAAACGTTATTAGAATGATTTGAAGTGCAATACAGGATATATTCTTAGTCTCGAGCAGAATATATCCTGTATTGCACTCCAAATCACTTCACTGTTCATTGGGCAGTCAGTTCGTGCATCTCTAATGCCACAAAACGAATACTGAATAAAACACTGATATGTATTACTACAGTAAGAATTAAGATGGGATTACCATACTCCCAGTTTTATTAATTGTCAAATCTCATTTAGATTCTAAGAAACTGAAGACCTCAAAACATCAATTCTATAAAGAATTGAAAATCAGGCATAAGCATATTAAAGGGCACACTTGTTCTGAAATTTGAAATGTTCCTTGCAATCATGTCATGGTCTCTACATATATCACACTGGGATAGCCTGACAACGGTAAAGTCAGATACCGTTGTCACAAATGGCGGACATAACCATCGCTTCAACTGCTTAATCACTTGGTCCTCATTTCATGGGATTTTATCGTCGCTAATTCTGTGCATGTATTAAGCTCTTGTGATGATGTTCCATATGAAATCCCAATTTCGATCAAATTGGGTCGTGAATCGCCACAATATAGCGTCTTCCATATCGTCAATGACAACGGAATCTGAATTTGAGTAATTTAGAAAGACAACAGCATATGGTAATTAAAAGACTTTATTTCAATGGTAGAACATTATTAACTGTACAATGATTATTAAGACACTTTGATTGATAGGTGCTCTATTAAACATACAGTTCATGAAAATCTATTTGAAGCGACAGTTATGTCCGCCATTTGTGACAACGGTATCTGACTTTACCGTTGTCAGGCTTTTCCGGGGTGATATATGTACCTTAGTTTTAAAAACTGGTGGTAAGGGTGACATTAACCCTGCCAAACTTACATAGCATCAACAAATTTGACAAATTGAGAAATCACCTTGTTTCCCTGTACCCTCTGACCATCGGCCATCATTGTATTATCATCTATTGTAGAAACGTGCAGTTAAAGCCGAGGGTCTGGTAGCCAAACTAAAAGAAGATATCCAAGTCTTGCAACAGGAGAATGCAGCATTGAGGAGTGGTGACCTGGGAATAGAGAGTATGAAAGAGAAGGCGAAGTATGCCTCTCAGCAACTTAGCACAGCGGCCACTGGGGCTGAACAACAACTCAAGTAAGTCAGATGTAGTATAACCTGTTTATTTTAACAACTTTCTGAACACCTCTTAATCTAAACACTTTTTCAGTTTAATTGTTTTGATGTGCCATAGTTTACCAGGTTAAAAAAACTTGACCTGCCAATTTGAGCATTTTTGGCCAGTGTCATTACAGGATTCATAATAGGCAAGGCAATTTTGAATAGATGAGGAAAATTTTAGTTAAAGGGGATTTATTGCTATCATTTGACTCATTTTAACAGATTACATTGGAAAAAAACATGTAGGAATATTTTTCTGTAAAAGTTTGACAAGGCAGCTTTCCTTTACTTCCTATTCCCATGTTTATACATTAGACACAGGGGTGGATCCAGGATTTTGTGTTAGGGGGGGCATGTGATGATAACTGTGAGCGAATTAAAAAAAGATTCAAATTTTGTAAAAAGCAATGAGGCAAAACACGAATTTTTCGACTTTTTAGGGGGGGCATGCGCCCCCCATGCCCCCGTCTAGATCCGATGGTGAGACATACATCATGAGAGTTTGATGTACCCCTCAAATGATTAACATTGAACAAACAGACTAGTGTATGGGACAATTCTGAGTAAGCTAGATCTTTAACAATTAGTACTATTTTACATTTTTTCATTTCAGACAATTACTCACTGGAGTGGATCAATTGAAAATGTTATCCCAAATCTTATCAACAATAGACAAGTTTACTGAAGAACAAGGACCATCAACATGTTCAGAGGGTGGAGTCTAAGGATGCGACAAGTCTTCTCAGGGTTAACTCTACTTATAACTTGCATGATTCTTCAAGTCTTGATCTTGAACTGTCATGAAAGTCTCAAAATCCTCTCTCATGATACTTCAAATCTTGAGTGTGAAGTCTAATGAAATTACAAGTCTTGAGGGTAAACTTATGTGACAAATGATACTGAGGGTTGACTCTCATGATACTTTGAGTCCTAATTATGATCTCTCATGATACTACAAGTATTTAGAGTGTGCTCACATGATACTATGAATACTGAGTGTGATCTTATGAAAGTATAAATCTTGAGGGTGAACACTTGTGATACTTATCATGATCATCATATATGTCTTGAGTGTGATCTCATGATAGTACAAATCCTAAAGGTGAACTCTAATGATACTGCAAGAACTGAGTGTGATCTCATTATAGTACAAATTATGAGGGTGAATTCTCATGATACTTCAAGTATTGAGTGTGCTCTCATGATTGTAGACATCCTGAGGGTGAACTCACATGATACTACATGTACTGAGTGGAATCTCATGATAGTACAAATCATGAGGGTGAGCTCACATGATACTACATGCACTGAGTGTGAACTCACATGATACCAATAGCACTGAGTGGAATATCATGAGAGTACAAATCCTGGGGGTGAACTCACATAATACTACAGGTACTGAGTGTGATCTCATGATAGTACAAATTTTGAGGTTAAACTCACATGATACTACAAGTACTAAGTGTGGTCTCATGATAGTAAAATCCTGAGGGTAAACTTACATGATACTGTAAGTACTGAGTGGGATCTCATGATAGTACAACATCCAGAGGGTGAACTTTCATGATACTACAAGTCAAGTGTGATCTCATGATAGTACAAATCTTGAGGGTGAACTTTCATGATACTACAAGTCAAGTGTGATCTCATGATAGTACAGATCTTGAGTGTGAACTCACATGATACTACAAGTCAAGTGTGATCTCATGATAGTACACGTTCTTGAGGTGAACTCACATGAAACTTCAAGAAATGGGTGTGATTTCATGAGCCATGATAGTAGAAATCCTGAAGGTGGACTTTCATGATGCTACAAGGAATTTGTACAAAATCTTAGGCCTGACACTGCTGATAGTAGTACAAATCCTGAGGATGGACTCTCAATTTTATTTATTGTCTGAAGAATACTGTCTGACATGAAACACTACATGTCACTTATGGGTTGTGCAATGAAATTAAAATTAAAATGAAGATGTAAAGAAAAAGCATATAAACACAATGATAGTCTGTTATAATACTTTTATTGAATCCAGATTCTATTGTTTAGATATACTTTTCATGTCTGATTAAAAACGATGCAGCATTGATGACTAAGATGTATACAATTATCAAATAACTCATTCCCTGTGATGTTTTTGTGAGTTTAACGTTCTTTTCTCCAAAATTATATTTTTATGAGATCCGAACAATTAAATCACCTAGCATTTTCAGACTACACAATACTAACAACCATTTACCTTGTGAATAATTTGTTCCAATCTAGCTACATGTATATCACACCTGGTGGATAAAAGGCTCATTAGTTATTAATGAAGAATATCTACCAATTCATTACATTAATTTGATGTATAGAGGTTATTTATAAGAGGGATGAAATATGAATTTTATATCAAGGGAAAATATGATACTGACCAAGGAAAATATATTGACCGAGGGCGACAGCCCGAGTGGCAATAGGATATTTTCCGAGCCCAATCTCATATTTTCTCGTGGAAAAAATTTGATCTGCGCCCGGCCGATTGAGTGTTTTGCTTAATATTGTATTCAATTTTGATCAAAATACTCAATCGGCCGGGCGCCGTAGTGAAAATCGGAGCAAATTTGACCAAGGCATAAGTGAAATTATACTGAACCATTTACATTAATATAATCTTTTGCATTCCACTTTTTATCTAATATTTTATATAACTAATAGAGGTACTTTAATTCATATTATTCTTAGATACTCTCCCACTGATATCGCAAAATATGTGTGTTTCTAATAAAAGAAAATTAATTAGTAACAAACAAGAACGTTTCAAATTGTTTTGAAGTCATCCACATGCTAATGCTTAGATGATTTGGCATGTTTGGGGAATACTGAATATTGAGAAAACTTACAAAATTCTCTTATCGTTTGAGATTTGCAATAATTCTCATAAATAAGCAAATTCACGATATTATAAGTTATTGAATGATTTGAAGTGCAATAGGATATATTCTGCTTGAGAAATTTTGTATTGGCACGAGACGAAGTCGAGACTTTCATTCTGTCTCGATATTCTGTATTGGCACTCGACTTCGTCTCGTTCCAATACGGAATTTCTCAAGCAGAATATATCCTGTATTGCACTTCAAATCATTCAATAACTTATTACATAAAATGGTTGAAGTGTTCCCTGCATATGCAATTATGCAATACCAGTATAATTGACACGAAATCAATCTCATCATCACGACAGTCGCTAGAAAATTCCAATACAGACCGTAGGAAGGTGTTCATTACAGAGAGGGGATCTTATACAGAATCGGTGGAGTATGTGCTGCGAAGAGGTGTTCACTAGACCCAGGTGTTCACTAGAGAGAGGTGATCACTGAAACAGGTTTTACTAAAGGTTGGACTTGAACGGCAATGAACGCGCAGTACATGGTCACCGACCGTTGGTGGCTTGTAACATGTTTGCATTAAAACACCAGAGGACATTAAAGGCCCAATTTGCGTATTTTAAACGTTTTTGGGCAAAATAAAGACTTTCATTTGAATTTCAAAGTATGTCCAATATATTGATAAGAACCTTATCTTTCATTTGACACCAACAACAGCTCAAACAGACCACATCAAAGCTTACAATAAATTATCAAAAAAATATTTTCAATTTGTCAAGCTTTATATATCAAGTTTTTATCAATGTCATTGAAAGATGGCAAAGTTGTTTGTACTACATGATACATTCATTTTTATAGAAGTGTCGCCATCCTTTAAATCAACAGTAATTTAAAACATGGACTTTGTTTAACATGTGCATGCACGTCTAATGATCTCTGAACTTCAAATGCTTTTTTCTAGGTGAGTTAATCTTTTCTTGGTTCAATATTAAAGCAAATCAAACTTTGTGTCATATTTGAACGAGTGTGTGAGTAGCATCTTTCAATGATTATTTTTTATTCTAAATTAAGTAAAGTGAGCCTTTAATTGATTAAAATGAAAGTTGGGTTTTGTAGATAACGGCTTACTGCGAAGTATTGAGAGTTCTGACCTGGCAGGAGTGGTTCTCAAGGTGTTAATTGAAAATAAAAGCGTTTGCCTTTTGTCGGGCCTTTCATGTTTGTTGTGTGCACATCAGATTTTCTAAGACGCCAAACTTGGAACAATTCAAATTTAAAGAGGATGTGTGTATATGAATTATAAATAAATTGTTTTTACACATTGATAGTACATGACAAGTTTTACTGCTACTTTCATAGTTCATCCAATTTTAGTTTTTTCTGATGTGGAGAAACCATTGGTACAAAGACGATAGAAAGATGGAAGCAGTCAGTGGCAGACATAGTCCCCCTCCCTAAAATTGGTCCCAGCAAAAAAGGCCTCAAAATCTGATCCTCCCCACAGATAAGAATAAATATTTCCTCCGACAGAACTTCATCTATGTTGTTATAAAGGTAACCAGGTGATCCACAATCCTATGCCCAATAATAAGGTGCTTGTGTAGTTTCAATCAATCTTTATAAATTTGCACAATTAACTAGACATGAAAAAACTGTAAAAGAATGGAGACAATATAACACAAGAATCGTAATCGAAATAATTTATTCATCGCCCTTTTATTTAGGAAACTTGATCCAGTTATAATGGGAAATAAAGAAACATAAACAAAAATATAATTATTATGTTGTCAAAATGAAAAACAAATACTTGCTTCGATTAAAAACACAAATATAATTTGTAATTGAACCGATATCGTTTCGCAATGCACGTTGTACGGTATATTTGTTTTCTTTACAACCAGATACCTTGATTGACAGAGATGTTGTATCATCTATCTAAATAATGAATTCTCTTTTCTTCTCTCATGTTTATGAAAGGACCAAAAATATTGATCATAATCAGTGAGAATCCAAAGCGAAAATGTCTTCGTATTACGAATTCATTAAAAAATAAAAGCAATTCGTTTTCTGACATTCATAGGAAAATATCAATGTTTTGGTGTATCTTGGAAGGGACATACGCACGTGATAAATACAGATTATCAGATTATTTTGAGTGATATCATTTTTATAGACGAGTTTATATCTACAAGGCAATAAAATGATAGCACTAGAAATTATCAGATATGTGTTTTATCCCATAAATATAAAAAATCAAAAATTCAAAAGAATCGAAATCGTTTTATCATATGAGGCTGATAAACGATTTTCGGAAAAATATCACACGGATCAGAATAATATCAGAAATATCACTGGATGTTATTGTCCATATAACACAATAGGCTACTCGTGGGATAAATAAGGGTTATGTACTGGGAGGTTTTGGATGTGGTATCCAGGGGAGATATGCATATCTACCTGAGGGACCGAAGGTATGTGCATATCTCACGAGGAATAACCCCCATATCCAAACTGACCGTACATAACTGCATGTTTTATCCTATACCCTGTAGACTTTTCTCATTTTTTCAAAAATATTTCATATCTTTTCAAAAAGATTTTCTCAAATTATTTTTAAACTTTATTTCAAAATTGTTTTCAAAGCGGCAAAATATCCCCTGGAGCGGGAGATATGGTGGGAGGTATGGAGGTTCTTGAAAACTTCAGGATTTATCTTACCAACTTATCTCCCTAAAACTCTACTGGGCATAGGATAAAATGGAATATCCGTTGTCGCATACACATTCTCCCAAAGTTAGGAAGTATATGGAAGGGACTTATTGCAATTATAAAATTCGAAGTCTGTTTCTTTTTTAAAAGACGCTAATTCTCAAAGCTTGTTAAATCATAATATAACGCAGCTACCCGGACAGACAAGTGAATTCTTAAAGAAAGTTGACTTGAATATGTGCAATGAATTCCCCTGACCCTCATTAACCTTTTCATTTAGATTACTGTCCCGTCTTGAATACTCAGTGTACAATATTTGCGCAAGTTTTTCAAATGTTTCATTCACATTCATGTTTTTCTCGGAGCTTAATTCCATATATGACAAATTGTTCTCATCTGCGAACTTCTTGCCAAGTTCGCACTTCAAAGTTTTTGTTTCATCTAAAAGATGGCACTTTGTTGCAACGAGCATTTTACACGTGCTGTCATTACAGTACTGCGTTGTATCATCCAACCTGTTAAATATAACAAAGTACAATATTACAATATTGCGTTGTATCATCAAACCTATTAAATAGAACAAAGAACATTATTCTTCATTTAGTTTCAGATCGTAATGGAAAAGTTATTTCATTGGAAGGGATTTAATTTCATTGGATTTGGAATTCCCTATTAACTATACCTATGGATCAACATCTTATTAACTGCATTAAGTTACATTTCAAGCTATCGTATGAGGTTTAAATATAATAAAAAGCGTGATATAATGTTACATTACCAGTGAACGCAGCGATCCAGCGATCTGTTTGTGTTTGTGGTTGCATCGGTAACACTAGCGTCAAAGAGAATTAGGCAACCATGGGCACCTCTGTAGTATGATGCTGTGAGGCTCCTGTAGCGTTCCTGACCTGAATTGATATTAAAGAGGGATGAACAAAAGGGTTGTCCAAAATTTGGAAAAACATCAGATTGTTCCAGGCCCGTAGCCAGGATTTGCCACGGGGGGGGGGCAGTTTTCAAAAATGTCCAGGGGGTTCACGTTTGACAATTTTGACCCAAATATGGCTAAAATCAGTGCTCAAAATAGTGAACAACTGCATGATTTTGAAATAAGTCGCCCGAACCCTGCAACCCCCTGGCCACGGGTCTGTGTTCAGATATTAACCTGGATTTTTAAGACCTGCGTCGTGTTCTTTTTGAATATTTGGACCACTTAATATTTATTTCAATACAAATTGCTGTTGAAAACAAGATATGCCTGAAGAAATGTCATATGATACAAAATCCTGTATACGAATCAAACTACTAAGTCACGAATATTTTTGCTTAGTCACTTTACAATATCTCAGAGCATGCTCTTTAGAAAGTTTCGAAATTTTAAATCAATAGTATGCGTAGAAATAACTAAATACCAGCAGTGTCCCATATTTCAAGTTTGATTTTATCCGATCCCAATCGCAACACTTTTTCCTTCTTGTCCAAGAGACCATCAGGATGCAAATAATGTTGAAATTGGCCATCTGTGTAAGTTCGAATCAACGATGTCTTCCCCACACCTGAATCTCCTACTACTACTATTTTGAAAATGTATTTAAATTCCCGTTTTAGCTCCTCGCGTTGTTTGTTTCTCTCGGCAGGCGTGGACATCTTGTCTTATAAAGAACATGTACAATAGTGATTCGCAAGTACAATAGAGTTTCGCAATTACAAAATTGCACGTCCTCCCGAAGTGCTCATCGATTCAGTATTAACAATTGTAATAATGATTTTTGAAATTGAAAAAGAAATATTATATTTCAAAAGCTGTTCAATAATTTCAGGGGTAATCTTGGTAGTTAGCTTTGAAAATGACTCTCAACAATCGATGTCCGTTGTCCTAGTTCATAACTTGTACACTCGTCTCTATAATGTCGGCAACCCTTATTTATCCTCCTCCATTTGGAGAACGTAACTGTGAAGTATCTGTTGGTGAGATTGAAAGTTTAGTATACCAAACTTATGAAGGCCTGGGTAGTGTAGATAACATCTCTTATAGAATATGACATTGTGAGATTCCGGTACGGTCGTTCAAAGTTAATTTTATGTTTAACGTCAAGACGAAGGGCCTAATATTAGGAGGGTGGGAGGTGAAAATACTAACAAATAAAAACAAAACCTTTATTTATTGCATTTCTGTCAGGATTTTGTATTGCTTAATAGTAAAAATGCTATACGAAGAGATTGATAAAGTGAAACACCCGTTAAGTTCACATGAACTTTTTCAATGACGACAATACTGAAGCTAAAATACATGTAATTTTTAATCTTTGAATTCCAATCCTTTCACTATCATCTGAAATCACAATCATAAATGTCTCTTTTTCAACTCATGACAAGTACAGAACAAGGCATTAACATGACAAAACGTCACCACCTATTCGCTCACCAATCTTAAGTCAGATTTGAATTTCTGAGAACTTGTAGATGATTTTGAAAAAACAAATTGGTCAATTTGAAGCAAGTTAAAAAAAGACCTTTTTTGACCCTGAGAAGGTCATTGAAGGTGAAATCTCAAATCTAAAGACAGATTTGAACTTCTGAGAACTTGTAGATGGTTTTGAAAAAAAATTGGTCAATTCAAAGCGAGTTGAAAAAGACCTTTTTGACGGACAGTGAAGGTCAAATCTTTTTTGACCTTCGGAATATCATTGAAGGTCAAATCTCAAGTCAGATATGAACTTTTGATAACTTGTACATGCTTTTGAAAGAAAATTGGTCAATTTGAAGCAAGTTGAAAAATACCCTTTTCACCTTGAAAAGGTCATTGAAGGTCAAATCTAAAGTAAGATTTGAACTTCTGATAACTTATAGATTTTGAAAAAAAGTTCAATTAGAAGCGAGTTGAAAAAATACCCTTTTGACCTTTGTTTACATTTTTTACCTTGAAAAGGTCATTGAAGGTCAAATGTTAAATATAAAGTCAGGTTTGAACTTTGGAAAACTAGATTATGATTTTGAAAAAAATTGAACAAGTCAGGTCAGTATTTAAGTTATTGGAAGAATCCGATCGCAAACCACCAGCCGCCGATCGCCGCCACAAAAAAACGGAGACCATAACAATATTTCATCAATTTTTGGTGGTGACATAACAAATGGGTTTTTAAATATTTGTGTTTTCTGACGTTAAACGCCGAACGTATATTAAACTTTGAATGGCCTATAATATCAGACGAGAATTCAAGAGCAGTGTTTTATAAGGTACAATATACTCGTCTTGAATATATTGTATATCATGTTGTCAATTTCAAGTTGACATTGGCCATATTACTGAATCATAACTATTATGATCTCACATGTAAGAAGTTGATATCTGATTAAAAACATGTACATGCACATGTGTTTTTTTTGTTCTGTGAATCACGAGCAGCTAGTGACAGAGGTGACCTTGATGAACAATAATGTTAGTAATCATTATGTTTTCTTGATTCTTACTTCAAATCTCGTACCTACCAACTAAATAAAAAAAAATTCATGGTAATTTGGAAGATGGTTCGATCCCACTTTAATGTTGACTCCACTCATATACATCACTATATGCCATCTTGAAATCACAAGAAACAGACACCGAACATCGACCAGTAAAAAACAGTGTTTATAACAATTGAATAAGTTACCACCCATTTGTAGTAAAAAGCATTCCAGTCTTAAAATTAATGTTTTTCCAAGGGTGATTCACACGTGTGTGCACGCAAAACAAGCGTGTGATTAAACGTTCGTAAATCACAGCTTAACGCGCGTAATTTACGTCTGAGTTAACAAACGCCTGTAAACGTTGCGTATATGCGCCAGCCATAGAGAGGTGATAAGGGCCCGGGTCAAGATCAGAGTTCAAAGATAAGATCTCCAGACTTGTTTTGCTTGCCAAACGTTTTGCAATCGCGTGTTATGGCCTCTCAGACTCATGCTATGTCAACATTCTGCTAATAGAGATTTTAAATTTTGGCATGCCAACCTAAGGTCCTTACCATGGCATGGGTGCACTAAGGTCCTATCACTTTTGGAAGAGTTTATTTTCATTCAAAAGGTAGTATAGGAGTCGATACATTTTATAAGCACAACATTTGAATACACACTCAGTGGAGTCAGTTACTTGAATAAAACCTAGTCATTACAAATCTATATAGTAATGTATTAGTATAGTATATAATTTATCAATTGTGCAAAAGACCCCATGCAGAACAGTTCTAGTGATAAAGACAATCTTCCCATTACAAACCAAAGGCTTTACCAAAATGCCCCAAAATATCACTATTGATTTTTATATTATTGCAGACATTTATGGTTAGTTTATTGACTAAATTTCACAAACAGGCACAATTCTAAAAAATCTTACTTGGAAATACAAATTAAGGTGCTATGGAAGTTAACAGGAAATGACAAAACAAAAAATGTCAAAACCATGCTGGATTTTGACAATTTTTTGAATCAAGATAACCGAGTTCTGTTTGGACCTCCAGTCAGTTTAATTAGTTCCACATATCATTTACATGACTGGGAACACAAGGAAAATGGTCAGAATGACCATAAACATGATGAAATAACCTTTTTAGCCCTCTGAAAATGTGACTAAAAATAGCTAAGAGTAGGTGCTCAGGAAAGGTCACTAAGAGAATCTTTTGACTTTTTCGTAAAATGTGCCCAATATATTACTCTAAATGATACAATTTAAAAAAAATTCATATCATTTTCAGAAAAAGAAAAAAAGAAAAAAACTGAATTTAAAATCGATCTATTTTCCTTTTAACTACAGCAATTATTGTTTCAGACAATTTTTTAAAATTTCAAAGATTGTATCATTTAGAGCAATATATTAGACACTTTTCTGAAAAAAATCAAGAGATTCTGTTCATTGACCTTTCCTGAGCACCTACTTTTAGCTATTTTTCAGTCACATTTTCAGAGGGCTGAAAAGGTTATTTCATCATGTTTATGGTCATTCTGACCATTTTTCTTGTGTTCCCGGTCATGTAAATATGTTGAACTAGTTAAACTGACTGGAGGTCCAAACAGAACTCTGTTATATTGGTTCAAAAAAATTTCAGAATCCAGCATGGTTTTGACATTTTTGTTTTGTCATTTCTGTTAAACTTACATAGCACCTTAAATTACAAATTAAATGTGTTGCATGAAACATATTGATTAATTTGTTCATACAAACTGGAGAAAGTATATAATCTGGGTTATCCACTTTCAATCAACACATTTTTGTACTTTCTCCTGCATATGAACAAATAGTTTGTGTCCATTCTCCAACATGCATAAGCAAATGATTTGTACTTTCTCCATTGTGCATGATCCAAAACGTTGTTCATTCTCTTCCGTGTTTTCAATATTTTGTTAATTAATCAATGTGTCAGAACGAATAAAATGTACCTAAACCAGTGAGTATGACCGAATTTAATGTACTACAATATCTATAATGTGTATGAAGAGACATTACGCTCTTTCTCCAGTATGGACATGTTATATGAACCAACAAGTACGCCTGTGTATATACTTTCTCCAGTATGTATGAACAAATATCATGTACTCCATTGTTTATGAACACACATTTTGTATGAACAAATACTATGTACTTTCTCCAGTGTGTATGAACGTACAGAGTATTGGTTAAATAACTAGTGAAAGTACATAATATTTGCTCATACACACTGGAGAAAGTACATGATATTTGTCAATACACACAGTTAAAATTTATTGTTTCATATATATACACTGGAAAAATATAAATAGTAGTCCATACACACATACACAGAAAGTAAATAAAACAATAAAATATTGGTTTAGGCACATGGGAAATTAACCTAGTTTCGATTCATACATACTGGAGAAAGTATACACAGAGGAGTGTGACTCAGAAAATGTGACTCAAAAACAGTTAAAAGTTGGACTTTTAGAAAGGTCACCAGACAGAATCTATTGCATTTTTGAGAAAGTGTGCCAAATATATTATTTGAAATTATAGAAGCTTTTGAAAATTTGAATTCATTCCTAAAAATAGAAAAAATGAGAAAACTGCTTTAGAAAGCAATCCATTCTTTTTTATGATCACAATTTTTGTTTCAGACAACTTTTCAAAATTTCAAAGCTCCTATGTTTGATTTAGAGTAATATATTGGGCAAATTTTCTGAGAAGTCTTTCACATGATGTTTAGGGTCATTCATTCATACAAACTAGAGAGAGTATGAGAATATTGATTAATCCAATCTGAGTAATATGATAGATAGTTGGTTCTTCAAATAGAGAGGTTTACTTAGATTTTGAATATCAAATAGATTTGGATCAAGTGTTATAAAGAATCTGATCTTCTTAACTTACTTAACTTCCAGCATGCAGATAAATATTCAATGGATTTACATAAAATGCAGAGTTCCTGTGACAATGGCATTTATTTTTATAGTTCAACGTCGTTAAACTCAATAACGGCGTTATTTATTATTAAGAATTTTCTTGGGGCCATTATTGAGTTTAACCTCCTTACTATTCTTTCCATTGATGCAAGTTTTGGATCCACCGAAACCATTTTTCCGCGATAACATGCAACTGATACTTGACAACAATATAAAAACACATAACATCAAGCGATTAAACACAATATTATTGTATTAAATGGTCATTTATACAAGTAAAATGAGGTTAAACTTACCAATCTCTAAAATGACATTTCCGCATGTCCGCCATTGTGTCTGTTCGTCCCGGGTTAAAATGTAATGTAACGACCCGCCGTAGGCAGGCGTAAGGGATTGGATAATTAAAGTGTGTTGGAGAAAGTTAATTGTCGGGAAATGAATTTAGAAAGTAATTAAGGGAGTTTGACTCAAATATGATGGAATAAAACAAAGTAAATATGTAAGGTTATATAAATCAAAGTCTCTTTAATGCACACTAAAACTATTTAATA